GGGAGTGACGGAGGTGTGACGGGGATAGGTGACGGGGAGGAGTAACGGTGACGGGAGAGTCATCATTCAACAACGAGGTAACAGCCATGGGATGATTGAGTCAACATTGACAATGGTGTTCCCGGGTGATTGAATATCAACAGTCGTGTTTCAGTTCACATTCCCTACCGCCCTTACCTGTATAGTGAAGAATTGCGTACACATACAGTACACATGTATATATATATACACATACAGTACACACACACATACCCACGTACACACATACAGTACACACACATACATATATACATACAGTACACACATACACGCACACACACCTATATACAGTACACACACACACACACACACACACACACACACACACACACACACACACACACACACACGTACTCACCATTTAAACTGTTAGACTCACCTCCTATACTCATTGACCCCCTCCCTTCTATACTCATTGACCCCCCTCCTCCTATACTCATGACCCTCCTCCTTTATACTCATTGACCCCCACCCCTCCTCCTCCCATTTTAAAGACTCACCAGTGACTCACCACATAACTGAGTATTAACGAGGACTTGTGTCTGAGTCACCTGTGCGATGAGTCAGTGACCTTTGCCAGTTGTAGGTGTCTACCATCTCTCCTTCTCTCTCTTCCTTTCTTCCTCCTGTCATTAACTTCTTTCTTCCTCTTCATTCTTCCTTTCTCTCTCTCTCACCCCTTCCCTTTCTTTCTCTCCACATCTCACCCCTTTCTTCCCCCATTTTCTTCCTCCTTATCCCTTCCTTTCATTCTTTCCTCCTCCCCTTTTCATTCACCTTCCTTCTCCCTATCTCTCTTCCCCTTCACTGTCTCTTTATCCTCCTTCTTCCACTTCCCCTTCCCCATCTCTCTCTCCTCCCTCCCTCCCTTCCTATCTCCGTGAGACTTGTATGTTAACTCAGCTCCAGCACCACCTCCCTCTCTCACCTCCCATTCTCTCCTCCCGCCCCTCCCTCCTCCCCATCTCCCCCCAAAGCCACCACGCCCATATGCCCTCCACCCACACCCTCCTCCCCTCCACTCCCTCCTCCCTCTCCACCTCCCCCCCTCTCCCTCCACCCCCCTCCACCCTCTCTCTCCACTCCCTCCTCTCCACCTCCCAACCTACACCTCCCCCTCCACCTCCACCCTCCCCCTCCTCCACCCTCCCCCTCCTCCACCCTCCCTCCACCCCTCCCCCTCCTCCACCTCCCACCCCCTCCCCACCATCCCCCCCTTCCACCCTCCCCCCTCCTCCACCCTCCCCTCCCCAGCCTCCTCCTCCCCCCCACCTCCCCCACCATACATTATGTCCCCCCTACCAGCGTTACGTCATACACCAGGAATAATGGCCAGAATTAATCGTTGTGTTTCTGTCCAGTGGCTGCTAGAGGAGGAGCGCTCCCATGTACCGGTCCCCTTCTCCCACGCACTGGTTGCCTCCTCCCATGTGACTGGCTTACCTCTCCCATGTACCGGTCCCCTTCCCATGTACTGGCTTACCTCACCCATGTACCGGTCTCCTTCTCCCACGTACTGGTTGCCTCCCATGTACTGCTTTCTCCCATGTGTCCCTTCCCATGTACTGGCTTACCTCACCCATGTACTCGGTCCCTTCTCCCACGTACTGCTTTCCTCTCCCATGTGCTGGCTTACCTCCCCATGTACCGGTCCCTCCCACGTACTGGCTTACCTCACCCATGTACCGGTCCCCTTCTCCCACGTACTGGTTGCCTCTCCCATGTACCGGTCCCTCTCCCCATGTACTGGCTTACCTCACCCATGTACCGGTCCCCTCCCACGTACTGGTTGCCTCTCCCATGTGTACCGGTCCTTCCCATGTACTGGCTTACCTCACCCATGTACTGGCTTACCTCACCCATGTACCGGTCCCCTTCTCCCATACTGGTTGCCTCTCATGTCCTGTCCCCTTCCATGTGCTAACCTCACCCATGTACCGGTCTCCTTCTCCCACATGCTGGTTGCCTCTCCCATGTCCGGTCCCCTTCCCATATGCTGGCTTACCTCACCCATGTACTGGCCTACCCATGCTGGTCTCCTTCTCCCACGTACTGGTTGCCTCACCCATGTACCAGTCCCCTTCCCACGTACTGGCTTACCTCCATGTACCAGTCCCCTTCTCCCACATGCTGGTTGCCTCTCCCATGTACCAGTCCCTTCTCCCACGTACTGGTTGCCTCTCCCATGTACAAGTCCCCTTCCCATGTACTGGCTTACCTCACCCATGTACTGGCTTACCTCACCCATGTACCGGTCTCCTTCTCCACGTACTGGTTGCCTCACCCTGCAGTCCCCTTCCCACGTACTGGCTTACCTCACCCATGTGCAGTCTCCTTCTCCCACACATCTGGTTGCCTCACCCATGTACCGGTCCCCTTCCCATGTACTGGCTTACCTCCCCATGTACCGGTCTCCTTCTCCCACGTACTGGTTGCCTCCCATGCTGGCTGCCTCACCCCATGCTGGCTTACCTCACCCATGTACCAGTCTCCTTCTCCCATACTGGTTGCCTCACCCATGTACCGGTCCCCTTCCCACATGCTGGTTGCCTCTCCCATGTACTGGCTTACCTCACCATGTACCAGTCCCCTTCCCATGCTGGCTTACCTCACCCATGTACCGGTCCTTCTCCCCACATGCTGGTTGCCTCTCCCTGTACCGGTCCCCTCTCCCACATGCTGGTTCCTCTCCCATGTACCGGTCCCCTTCTCCCACGTGCTGGTTGCCTCTCCCATGTGCCTGGCTTACCTCCACCCATGCCCGGTCCCCTTCCCATGTACTGGCTTACCTCACCCCATGTACCGGTCTCCTTCTCCACGTGGTTGCCCTCCCATGTACTGGCTTACCTCCCATGTACCGGTCCCTTCCCATGTACTGGCTTACCTCACCCATGTACCGGTCCCCTTCTCCCACATGCTGGTTGCCCTCTCCCATGTCCCTTCTCCCACATGCTGGTTGCCTCTCCCATGTACCGGTCCCCTTCTCCCACGTACTGGTTGCCTCTCCCATGTACTGGCACCTCACCCATGTACCGGTCCCCTTCCCATGTACTGGCTTACCTCACCCATGCCGGTCCCCTTCTCCCACAGTACGGTTGCCTCTCCCATGTACCGGTCCCTTCTCCCACGTGCTGGTGCCTCTCCCATGTGCAGTCCTTCTCCCACGTACTGGTTGCCTCTCCATGCTGGCTTACCTCACCATGTACCGGTCCCTTCCATGTGCTGGCTTACCTCTCCATGTACCGGTCCCTTCTCCCACGTACTGGTTGCCTCTCCCATGTACTGGCTTACCTCACCCATGTACCGACGCTTGTAAAGGTGAATCACTATTTAGGTCGGGATACACAGGCCGTATTCCTTTACCCCGTAATATTATGAACGTTCAACTAGGTAAAAAAATATCCCTAAAAATCTTAATATATTTTGTTTCCCACTTTAGCCCAGTTTAGTTTTCCATAATAAATGTTTAAAATTGGGAAGTTCATTTTGAAGTCAGCCGGTACATAGTGTGGTGTCTCAGAGAAGTCAGCCGGTACATAGTGTGGTGTCAGAGAAGTCAGCCGGTACATAGTGTGTGTGTCAGAGAAGTCAGCCGGTGCATAGTTGGTGTCTCCGAGAAGTCAGCCGGTACATAGTGTGGTGTGTCAGAGAAAGTCAGCCGGTACATAGTGTGGTGTGTCAGAGAAGTCAGCCGGTACATAGTGTGGTGTGTCAGAGAAGTCAGCCGGTACATAATAGTGTGGATGTCAGAGAAGTCAGCCGGTACATAGTGTGGTGTCTCAGAGAAGTCAGCCGGTACATAGTGTGGTGTCTCAGAGAAGTCAGCCGGTACATAGTGTGGTGTCTCAGAAGTCAGCCGGTACATAGTGTGGTGTCTCAGAGAATTAGTACACTTTGCACACTACCTTATGAGATCATCATGGTGATCTCGTGAGTGTTCATATTACAGCAACAACATTGTCTTCACTTATAGGAGACCTCACACTTCAACACGTGAGGACAATGTTGCTGTTGTACTACAAACATTGACGCCTTCCCGATAACCTGTAAGGCAGTGTGTAGACATATTTCTGAGACACTGTTTATAATACTGCCACCTGAATGTTTGATAAACGACTCGTTCACAATGGGTAGGATGTGATTTAGGCACTTTATATTTTTAGCCTGTATTTGCCTTTCTCCTTGGCCTCTGTACATTGTAGGGAGTGAAAAAATGGTGTTATTCACTGAATTACATTATTATTATCCATGCAATACTCAGATTTTTTTTTGTTTAACATATTTGGTTTTTATTTTTCAGCTTTGCAACATATAATGTGCATATTTCTTCAACTTCTCACTTGTATTTTTCATCATTGCAAACTCATAATGTGCAATTTTCATCTCTGCAACACAATGTGCAATATACCTAGAATGTATATTGTGATGTGCATATGTGACCACTGTATTTATAGTTCACTGCCTCCTCCACTGTGTGTTGTGGATTCTGTCTGTAGGAATGTTGTGTTCCTTCATCCACTCCCGTGCGCCACCAGGCCCCCCCCAGCACCCCAGCCCGCTCAGACCCCTCAGCACCCCACAACCTGCTCAGCCTCCCAGCACCCCAGCCCGCTCAGCCCCTCCCAGCACCCCACAACCCGTCCAGCCCCCTCCAGCACCCCACCCACCTGGCCCCTCCAGCACCCCCTAGCCCGCTCAGCCCCCCCCTCCCGTCCCCGTAGGTGTGTTCATTTGGGTGGTGGGCGCCTGTGGTAAGCACAGGTTGAGCCGGAGCGATCACCGGCCTCAGCAACAGTAGGCAATACAAACACGAGGCCAACTGGGTTATCCGGCTCAAGCAGCTGCAGCACAGCAGACGACCCCCCGACACAGTACCTGGACGATTTATCTGGTAAGCAGCCCAAAACACAGCAGACAGAGGCTTCCTAACACATCAGACAGCAACCTCATTAAAACCGCAGCCAACAGCCCCCATAGCACAGCAGACAGCAGCCTCCATAACACAGTATGAACCAGCAGCCTCTATAACACCAGCAGACAGCAGCCTCCTTAAAACGGCAGACAACAACCCCGATAACTCAACAGACAACAGCCCCCATAACCAGCAAGACGGCAACAGCTCTAGCAGACAGCAGCCTCCCCCAAAACAGCAGACAACAACCCCCATAACACAACAGCCAATAACCCCTAACACAGCAGACAGCAGCTCCAACACAGCGAACAGCACTCCAAACACAGCAGACAACAGCCTCCATAACACAGCAGACAACAGCCTCCATAACACAGCAGACAACAACCCCCATAACACAACAGCCAATAACCCTAACACAGCAGACAACAGCTCAACACAGCAGCTCAACACAGCAGACAACAGCTCCAAACACAGCAGACAGCAGCTCCAACACAGCAGACAACAGCCTCCATAACACAGCAGACAACAGCCTGGCCAAGGTTCCGGTCGTACTCCTCGTTAATATAATGGTTGCCGGAGCCGACGTTATGCTCTCCGCCGCCCGCCCGCCCGCCCGCCCGTGTGTGGAGGAGGGTGGGAGTTGACGGTGTAACGGGGCAAAATGGGCGGAGTTAGGCGGGGTGTGGTGACGAAAGGGCAAAGTAGGTGAGAATGGGTGAAATGTTTCGAAAGATGATGCAGTAGGTGGTGGTGTTTGGTGGGTGTGAACAGGGTAACAGTGTGGGCGGGCGGGCGGAGAGGGCGGGTTTAGGTGTGGGGCGGGCATGATGAGTGGGGATAGTGGGTATAGCAGTGGATAGAGATGGGTTGAGGGATAGGTGGTGAGAGTGGGCGATGTCAAATGGGCGGGGATAATGGGTGTGGGCGGATGGTGGGTAGTGGATAACATGAGGTATTTACATCTAATACTTTTTTAAGGATGTCTACCTGGAATAGCGTCAATTGCGATCAAAGACCTTTTTTAATGACTCGGCTACTGGTAATTCCTTTCTGGTGGTGAATAAAGTTTAGGTGTTATAGATTCATTCGGCTCTCTTACTTAGAGTGCTGAGGGCTGGTGTGTGGTGGTGCTGAGGCTGGTGTGTGAGTGGTGCTGAGGCTGGTGTGTGGTGGTGCTGAGGGCTGGGTGTGTGGTGGTGCTGAGGGCTGGTGTGTGGTGGTGCTGAGGCTGGTGTGTGGTGGTGCTGAGGGGCTGGGTGTGTTGGTGCTGAGGGCTGGTGTGTGGTGGTGCTGAGGCTGGGTGTGTGGTGGTGCTGAGGGGCTGGTGTGTGGGTGGTGCTGAGGGCTGGTGTGTGGTGGTGCTGAGGGCGGTGTGTGGTGGTGCTGGGGCTGGTGTGTGGTGGTGCTGGGGCTGGTGTGTGGTGGTGCTGAGGGCTGGTGTGTGGTGGTGCTGAGGGCTGGTGTGTGGTGGTGCCGTATCCCTGCTGGGGACGTTTTGTGTCTTTGTCGGCATTAACTTATGAACCATAAGTAATATGTGTAGGCTGTGGTACCCCAGCCAGGTCACCGCGACAGGTACCCCAGCCATGTCACTGGGACAATGTATCCCCAGCCGGTCACCGACAGGTACCCCAGCCAGGTCACCGCGACAGGTACCCCAGCCAGGTCACTGGGACAATGTGCACAGCCAGGTCACCGACAGGTCCCCAGCCAGGTCACCGCGACAGGTACCCCAGCCAGGTCACCACGACAGGTCCCCAGCCAGGTCACCACGACAGGCACCCCAGCCAGGTCACTGGGACAAAGTACCCCAGCCAGGTCACACGGTCCCCAGCCAGGTCACCGCGACAGGTCCCCAGCCAGGTCACCACGACAGGTCCCCAGCCAGGTCACCACGACAGGTCCCCAGCCAGGTCACCACGACAGGTACCCCAGCCAGGTCACTGGGACCAAAGTACCCCCAACCAGGTCACCACGACAGGTACCGCAGCAAGATTCACCTAAACTTCCCAACGTAAGTCTTCACTACTGGAAGATTAGCCCAGAGTTTTCAAGTTTTTCACTGAATTTATTATTTAAACTTTCTCGAGGAACTTTGGGGAGATTTTACGGAAGTTTCTCAGGAAATTTATATCATAGTCCCCCCCTCTGAACTACCCCCTTCCCCTTAACTACCCCCTGTCACCCCGGAACAACCTTCTTATCCCGTACCACCCCATCACCTCTTTACCCCGTTACCTCTTAGCTATACTCTTACCCTTAATTATCCCTTACTCCTTATTATCCTCTTACACCTAATCACCCCCCCTTTTGCCCCTTCATACCCTCTTACCCTTCATCCCTACTATCCCCCTAATAACTACTCCCTTACCCCTTAACTCCCCATACCATTCCCTGATCCTTATTACCTTTTACCCCTTATTAATCCCTGTTGTCCATCCCCTATTCCCCCCCCATCCACTTCCCCTCGTCCTCCCACCTCTTCATCTCACCTCACCCCCTCCTCCCTCTCCCTTCCCTCTCCATTTCACCCCTTACCCATTTCCTACCCCTCCCCTGAAAAGATCCACTGGTATTTATAGAAAGACTCTTGAAAGACCTAAAAATTCCACTTCAGAATCGTACTGTTGAATTCGTTCTCCGGAGAAGCGTCTACTGCCACTTAAGAATTCGCTTTGTTATTCATCTGCCGGTGTGGTGGCGGAGTGGATACAGAGCTCGCATCCTGCTCTAAAATATCACTACTGGTTCGCGTTCAGGCACCCCAGTCGATCCAGCTGTGAATGAGGTACCTAGCGTTACAGTTGTTGAAGTCAGGGTGATCGAGTACATTGTCACTGCCTTATGTACAGGTTTAGAATTCAGTGTGTTGTGACCTTACTGGCTGACAGGACCCGCTTTCATTGTTGTCACTGGAGGCACTGGAGCTCCTCTCCTTATGTCTGTCTTTACCTGCCTGCTTTCCCCAATTTTCTGTTTCGTGTCACGTGCGCGGAAACTTTGCACTCATGGTTGCCAAGTCATTAATGACCATTAAATGCATTTTTATAATATAAATGCCAACTGGCGGACATTACACAAAATCGTTGGCGATTTTGCTATCAGATATCGAGTTTGAAGCCTAATAATACAATTTTATTCCTCAATTGTTTATCGATAAAAAAAATAGCCGAAGTGAGACCTGGCGGCCATTTTGTTTTTAATAGTATCTGCCGTTACCATTCATTACACAAAAACCACGAATACTTTTATCCTCAAAACTCTGCAGAGATGAGTATAGAAAGGCAGTTATGCAGATTGGATGGTTTTGTATATGATAAAGGAATGGACGCCTGGTTAGTATCCATAATATACAGGCAACAACAAAAGAAATTCTGCATCTTTACGGTGTTATACATTATGACACACCGGGCCAGAATTGTGACAGACATACGGGTGTTATATTTATTCCTGTTATATAATACATCACACAATATGGCCTCAGTCAGTGATCGTCAGACCTCGAGGTGCAGAGGAACTTTTTGTTGACTGTATATGTGTTAGTAAAGTGGGGATGGTGCTCCTGTGCCTGTCTTTGAAGCCTGTTGGAGTTACCTGAAGCCATTTTGAAGCCATGAAGCCGTATGGAGGAATCCTTCAATATTTCTCCAAGGAAGATGTCACCATTATCTCGAGATCTCTAATGTCGCTGAACCTGAAATAAAGTATACCTGGAAGAGCTTGTTGATGTTAACCCGGAATTAATATAAGTAGAGCGAGGGTCTTCCGTGATTGGTCCCAGATGTAAACAGTGATTATTTGTTTAGTTTATTTTGTTATCGTGAGACGCTTCCACTGGATATGTTATCGTATTTATGTTATAGTACAGAGACACTACTAAATATATCCTTATATCGTATTAGCTGTGAGAACACAACATCAAGCTTTCAGAATACAATATTAAACTTTGAGAACCCAACATTAAACTTTTAAACACAACATTAAGCTTTCGAATACACTGTTAAGCTTTTCAGTACAATATTAAATTTTCAGAACACAACATTTAGCTTTCAGAACACTTCAGATACGCTGCTTTAAACATTCAAACATTAAGCTTTCAGGTGAACATTGAGAACACAATATTAAACATTCAGAACACGAGGTAAACATTCAGAACACGAGGGTGAACATCAGACACAGGGTGAACACATGGGGGTTCACCTCTTGCTAAGCTATGTTATATCTGTTACTGTTCTACAAATTGTCTTCCCTCCATCACATTCTCCTGTCCCATCTCCCTCCCATCCCATCTCCCTCCCATCTTTCCTTCATCCTATCCCATCCCATCTTCATCCCCTTTACTCCTGTCACATCTCAACCCACCCCATCTCATATCCTTTCCTCCCATCCTCCTGTCCCATCGCTCTTCCATTCCCTCATCCCATCCTTCTCTACCCTCTCACTATCTCATCCTTCTATCCTCTCTCTTTCCCCATTCCCTCCTTTCTGTCATCGCCTTTCAACCTATTCCATCTCCTTCATGCATCCTAACCCATCCCATCTCTCCATTCTTTCCTCCTCTCTCTCTCTCTCTCTTTCTCTCTCGCGTTAAAAAAAAAATAAGAGAGGTTCCTGGAAAGCAAGGTTGAGATTAAATAAGACTTCAAAGGCAGGTATGGGGGTGGGAGAAGATTAGAGAGTAGGATCCCATAACCAAGTATTGCTGGTTGCTAACATCCTGCATGCCCCCCCTCCCCTTCCCCCCCCTCCCCCCCCCCACACACACCGGTAAACATCTACCATTCACGGAGACGGACTGATCTTCTCCAAGGTTCCATTTAGGCGTTTCAGAAATATCACCTGAAGATTTTAGACACCTCAGCTGATGTTACCTGAATGATTAAATTATCCTAATGGTTCCTGGGAGAGATGGGAGTTACTGATTAGTTGAGTTATGTTAAGTTAGGTTAGCGTTAGATTAGGTTAATGTTGAAGTTAGCCTTGGGGTGGCTAATCTTCAGGTTAATTAAAAACTGGGGCTGTTTAATCTTCAGGTCTGAATAGGTATGATAAGAAAGATTTGTGTGTGTGTGTGTGTGTGTGTGTGTGTGTGTGTGTGTGTGTGTGTGTGTGTGTTGTGTGTGTGTGTGTGTGTGTCTTCGTGTCCAGATGGCTGGTTTTGTGGTGTGGTTGGCGTCTCTCTCTCTCTCTCTCTCTCTCTCTCTCTCTCTCTCTCTCTCTCTCTCTCTCTCCTCTCAGTACACCACAAGTGAACGTTCACCTGCCATACGGTATCCGATGATGACACCTTCAATACATTCCACCACACCTGTTAACTAATGTTCTAGTTCATTATAACTTTGCCGTCACCCTCCCTCCCTCCCTCTTAAATCCTCCATCTCCTATAGCACTCTAACCTTCCCTCCATCACCATCTTCTTCCACCTCCTTTCAACTCCATTCCCCTCCCCCACACACTAATATGATAATAATAATAATAATAATAATAATAATAAAATAATGATAATAATAATAA